AAGGTCCAGGCAGAAGAAGAACATCATGGCTTCAAAATCTGAGAGACTGGTTTGGACAAAACTCAGCAGCACTTTTTCATGTGGCTGCTGATAAAAACAGGATCGCCAACATGATCGCCAACGTCCGATAACGGATATGGCACAAGAAGAAAGAAGAATACCTTCAATGCTTTCTTCCTCCATTCTTCCGTCTCTGCACTTTATCTTCATATCAGTCTTGATTTTCCCAGGTCCTCTCCCTTATGTCAGGCTGGCCCTCAAATGCCCACTTTCTTTACTGGATGCTATTGGTTTTCTGCACTTGTCCCCAAGCCTAGTGTCCCCCTCTTCTTAACAACCTCAATTTTCTTCTCAGATGCGTCTGGTGTTGTCTTGGTTTCCATGCTGCCATTCCCTTGCTTCTTCCTTCACTAGGCCCTAGTATTTGGATCCATCCATTTCTTATTCCCTTTTTTTCATTTCAGCCTGCTTTTCCCTCCTCATGTTATGTAATTGCATAACAATGATGTGCAGACCTCCATCTTTATTTTTGGGGGTCCACACAAGGAACAAAAGTTAGTTGCTGGAAGCCAACACTTCATTTGGAATTGCTTTCAGCCCAGTAAAGTCATGGACATTATGCTGCCTATCCCAATGGGAACACTTTCACCTGTAACCATGTTGAATTAGAGCAGGGGTGTCAAACTGCCAGCCCGTGGGCCGGATGCGTCATGGCAAAACCGCGCCCACCTCATTGCCGGCAATGGAAAAAAAGTCATGTCACGTGACGTTGCGAGTTTGACACCCCCGAGTTAGAGCAACAGTCTGAACTAATTCAGACTATATTCTAGGTTAATGGAAACAATATTTTATTAGAGAGCATTAATGATTCTTTTAATTGAAATGTTTAGATAGACAGCAAATATTTCTATAGATACTTTTCTAACCATGTTCCCTATAACCTTTCCCCCCACTTTACATGAGATATGTATTCTGCTACTAAACAAAACAACAGTTAGACAACAGCCAGTATGAACTTGTGCATCCCTGTAAAATTAACAATGACATATACCAGCCACTGATCTGGTATCTTTGAGCTGTCCTTTAGCTTAAAATAACTTGCAAGGCAAAATGAGTCCACTAAAACAGATATGTTCTTTTATTTATTTATTTTTTAGAAAAATGTACATCAAAGAGTTCTTTGTTATGATTTTTAGATAAGAAACAAGAGAAGTCTATACATAATACAAAAGAATGCTTTTAACTTAAGGTCCTATTACACTTTTCTTTTGCTAAGCGCCATACATTTAGAATCACAATTCTGAGTTATAAAACAGATATATCAGTTGACTAAGTTAATGTCATATTGTAGAAAGCTTTATCAAGAGAAGCTAACTCTTGGACCTCAAATTTAAAAATAGAAAAAACAGAGCCAAACATGATTTAAAAAAAGAAATATATAAAAACAGCTGTTTTTTAGATTGGAAGATCTTAGTATACAAACACGTATCTACTTCTTCCCATCTTTTTGTTGGAGTCTTTAATGGCTGCTCCCTGTACATACAATAATACTTATACAAAATGATTTCTCCAAATGATTTTTTTTTTGTTCTTTTGGTCGAGAGGCTTACTAATGTTTGGCAAATACTTCTCCTTATGTCCTATTTTTCTTGGAAAAGTTAAAATATCAACAAGTGGTATGTAGAAAAGATTTGCCCAGTATCTTTTGCTCAGGAAACACCAAGTGCAAACTATTTCCTTTTTATCATACCTATTAATCTTTGTTATTTTTTAAAAAAAACTCCATTATGAGAACAAATTACAGAATTCCTTCTTTAATCTTTATTCATTCTTATAAGGCACTTTAAAAGAACAACAGCAAGGGATGTATCTAATATACATTACTGAAATGTCCTTAATATGCAGGTTAATATACAGAGAAGAGTCTATATTCCACTATAGGGCCCCGAAGGAATACAGTACTTCAAGAATCCCCCTCTAGAAGCACTTTACTTTCCCCTATTGGCATGGTTTGCTGCGTTTCATTTATGTTAGAAAAATATGTGATTCCTTCACATATGAAGCAAGAATTTGTCCATGTAAATCAATATGTATTTTGACTGTCACCTGCAGGGTTTCTTTCCTAGTTTTGCTATGTAAGAGAATTGAAAGGTATAGAATCTAGAACCTTGAGCACTGGATGGCTGTATCTGTGTATCCATGTATATGTATGTATTACTGGTAATTAATTCAGTAGCCATTTAGTAACTTTAAACATAGACTAGAGTTGTAAGGGACCTTGGAGGTCTTCTAGTCCAACCCTCTGTTCGAGCAGGAGACCTTATAATTATTTCAGACAAATGGTTGTCCAGTCTCTTTTTGAAAGCCTCCAGTGATGGAGAACCCATAACTTCTGAAGGCGAAGTTATTCCATTGGTTAATTGCTCTCACTGTTAGGAAATTTCTCCTTAGTTCTAGGTTGATTCTTTCCTTGGTTAGTTTCCAACCATTGTTTCTTGTCTTTTGGTGCTTTGGAAAATAGTTTGACCTCCTCATCTTTCTAGGAGTCCCTCAAATATTAGAACAGTGCTATCATGTTCATTAGACTAGACATACCCAATTCCTTAACCATTCTTCATACGTTTTAGCCTCCAGCCCCCTAATCAGTTTTTGTTGTTGTTCTTTGTACTCTTTCCAGAGTCTCAACATCTTTTGTGGTGACCAGAACTGGATGCAGTATTCCAAGTGTGCTCTTACTAAGGCTTTGTGAAGGAGTACTATAACTTCACATGATGTTGATTTTATCCCTCTATTACTGCAGCTTACGATTTCATTGGCTTTTTTGGCTGCTGCCGCACCATGTTTGCTCATATTTAAGTGATTGTCCACTAGGATTCCAAGATCCTTCTCACAGTTACTGGCATTAAGCCAAGTTTCACCTAGTCTAGGTGAAACCTAGCTAGTTTTTCTTACCTAAGTCTAAAACCTTACCTTAGTCTAAAACCTTATTTTTTATCTACTTTGAATTTCATTTTGTTAGATAGGGCCCAGTAGTTTTGGATCTTGAGCTTGTCTTCTGGGGTGTCATCTGCAAATTTGATGCGTTCCCCTTCAATTCCCTTGTCTAGATCATTTATGAAGATATTGAAGAGTACTGGGCCTAAACCTTGGGGTACCCCACTGCTTACTTGGGGTACCCCAATGTTTACTTCTCTCCATGTGGATGTAGTTCCTATTATTGAGTTTACTGTCAATAATAAAATGGCCTTCTTTGATCTGGGCCACATTGTAAAGAACACAGGAAGCCCTTTTTCTTAATAGCTGGGTTATTTCATCCTCTTAAAGAGAAAAATACACATGTGGATTGATTTTCCTCTGTTGAAATAAATGGAGCTATTGCAAGCAAAGAATTGGCATACTGGATTATGATGGCCACTATTTCACTGGATAAAAATGGAACTATTGTAGTATTGAGTTAAATAGTTGCACATATGCCCTGAATATCACAGCTGAAAACAAGGTTAGTTTCCAAGCTATTTTGAAAATGTATGAAGGCTTTTTTTAAAAAATTACATTGTTGTTGTTAGTTGCGAAGTCGTATCTGACCCATCGCGACCCCACGGACAATGTTCCTCCAGGCTTTCCCGTCCTCTCCCATCTTCTAGAGTCCATTTAAGCTCACCCCTACTGCTTCAGTGACATCATCCAGCCACCTCAGTCTCTATCGTCCCCTTCTTCTATTGCCCTCAATCTTTCCCAGCATTAGGCTTTTCTCCAGTGAGTCCTTCCTTCTCATTAGGTGGCCAAAGTACTTGAGTTTCAACTTCAGGATCTGGCCTTCTAAAGAGCAGTCAAGGTTGATCTCCTCTAGGACTGACCGGTTTGATCGCCTTGCAGTCCATGGGACTCGCAGGACTCTTCTCCAGCTCCATAGTTCAAAGGCCTCAATTCTTTTGTGCTCAGTCTTTCTTATGGTCCAATTTTCACAGCCATACATTGCAACTGGGAAAATCATGGCCTTGACTATATGTACTTTTGTTGACAGGGTGATGTCTCTGCTTTTTAGTATGCTGCCTAGATTTGCCATAGCTTTCCTCTCCACGAGCAAGTGTCTTTTAATTTCTTGGCTGCAGTTCCCATCTGTGGTGATCTTGGAGCCCAGGAAATTACATAAACTATATTTATGGTCTAACCCCATAACTCAGACTATGATCACTGAATGTATGAATGAGTATGTGTCAGCAGTAAGACACTTCCATGAAATTGGAAATTCTGCTTGTTTAGACCCCCACATAGCTACACATCTTATTCATGTACTGGTTACATCTTCTAGTAATCACAGAGAAGCAGAAACTGAGTAAGAATGTCATTTGGCTCAGTCCTTCCATGCATCTTGTTTTCAGAAAAGAGCTGCTATGCTATAGGATGGCAATGACTACAAGTTATTGTAAGTATGATAGAGGTGCAGTTTCTCAACAGAAGGTGACAACATCCAGGTTACACTGTGTAATAGCATGATAACAACTACTGATTTCCTTGTCTATGGAGATTCTCAGTCATCCAGGTCATAGTTATCCCAAAGATGCTTTTTCACGAGGCAACTGGACTTTCTTGTTTTTCTTTGAAGATGTTTCTCTTGTCATCCAAGAAGCTTCTTCAGCTCTGACTGGATGGTGGGGAATGGAAGGATTTATATTCCTTGGAGACAGCTGGTCATTTGCATTTTTTTAGAGAGTCATTAAGCCACTTGGAGGTTTGTCTGTGTCCTCAGGGTCACCTGAGTAGTGCAAATGGGTGTGGAGCCTTCTTGGAAGTTCCAATCCTCTCAACAGTTCCAAGAAGGCTCCACACACATTTGCACTACTCAGGTGACCCTGAAGAAGCTTCTTGGATGAGAAGCGAAATGTCTTCTAAGAAAAACAAGGAAGTCCAGTTGCCTCATGAAAAAAGCATCTTTGGGATACTGATTTCCTTAATAAAGTTTTTTTCTTAAAAAAAAATAAAATTATAAATAAAATCATAAGTGCTTCATTCAAAAGAAAGCTTCTTTGGTTGCTCTGGGTGCTAGCAAATTACTTCATTTCAGTGACTAAAAAGAGTAAGGTCCCACAATAAGTGTTAACCTCAGTACTGAACTTGACCGGTAGTTCATGTTGTTGACCGTCAACAGCTCCAGGTCGATGATATATTCCCGTGGACCTGTTAATGGCTTTACCAACACAAGCATTGCACTCACGGAGCTTGTTTGCTGAAAGAAAGAAGGAAAACACGTTCATGTACAGCCAAGGCACCCACAAATAATTTCCCTGGATGTGTGCCTATGTGAAAATGATTTAGAAAATATATTTCAGACCTCACACAAGTGTGAGTGCAACTTTTTCTCTCCTATTAATTAAAGCAATCACATCCTTTTTCAGGCTTCAATGTGATCCTGCAAAAAGACTCTACTGCTTTAGGTCATTTTAATGATTCTAAAATATAGCTTCTTTAATTAATAAGAGATGTGTTAGGTTTACATGAGATTTGAAGCATTTCTTCCAAATCATTGAAAGAGTGTATATGCTCCTATATGCGTATTCACACACAGAGATATATCTGGTGTATTGTAATGGTTAAAGTGTTAAACCTAGGGCCACCAAGAGCAGGTTCAAATCCTCCCTCAGCCATGGAAGTTCACTGGGAAACTCTGGGTCAGCCCAACACAGATGTGATGGAATGTAGTCTGGATTCCCAGGAGGGAGGAAGAGCATTCCAGAGGAGTAAGAGGCAACTTAGTTTCTGTAACTGAAGGAGGGTGAAAGCAGCCCCTCCTTAACATCTCCCAGAGAATATGCTTGATATAGGTGGCAGTCTGTTTCAGTTTGGTAAGATTTTGTCTATAGGTGTGGAGCAATAAAGAAATCTGCTTTAAAGAATCACTGTGTGTTTTTCTTGATTTCTGGGATCTGATAATAGAGCAGGAGTCTTCAAACTTGGCCCTTTTATGACTTGTGGACTTCAACTCCCAGAATTTCTCAGCCAGGCACGCTGGCTGAGGAATTCTGGGAGTTGAAGTCCAAAAGGCATAAAAGGGCCAAGTTTGAAGGCCCCTGTAATAGAGTTATTTTGTATAAAAAAATAGAAGATAAAATATTAATTATGTCTTTAACAGTGATCAGATGACACAATGGGACAAAACAGTTCTTCATAATAAAGTTGTTGATTCTAGCCTCTTTAATTTGGTATGCTGAGTTCCATCTTCAGCATCTAAGAAGCTTCAGAAAAGCAAACGGGAATACTTACTCTAAGAAAGAAGTCTCCATTGTCATTTCCAGATTTAATCCGGAAGGTGTTAATTGTATTGGGGATAATCGTGGTTGCCTGGATTTGGAAGATATCAGATGGCACAGTCCTCTCTGAATGGATGCTCATATATTTGTGAACAATGGAGTATGGCAGGTCCCGACAAAGATGATTAGATACTGAACAAATACAGCGACTGTAAAAGAAAGCACAGTGATTGAAAAACATACTCATTCCATTGTAAACTGGTGTTCAGTTTGGAACTCTATTGATAGCTTCCCTTACTTTTCAGATGCAAGCACGTAAGGCTCCTGACAAGGATTTCTTGGGTAACAGCGATAGCCACCATGATAATTAGAACACATCTCATCTTCTCGACATTCATTGCGTGTTTCACATTCATTTATATCTATATTAGCAAAAAGGAAAAAAGTTCTACAATTCTGCTATCTGCATTCTTTGAGACTGGAGTTATTCATAAACTTGAATCAGCAAATGTCTATGGGAATTCTCAATCATCCAGGTCACAGTTGTCTCAAAGGTGCTTTTCAAAAGGCAACTGGACTCTTGTTTTTTTCCTTTCCTTTTGATTCCCCACCATTTAGTCTGAACTGAAGAAGCATCTTGGATGAGAAGAGAGATCTTTTCAAGGAAAAATACCAAGAAAGTCCAGTTGCTTTTTGAAAAGCATATTTGAATCTGCAAAATATCTTAATAATTAGAACTTAATTATTTGTTGCAGTCTGCAAACTATCTACTTAGCCCCTCTTTTGCACATATTGTAGCTTCTGTATGTGGATCATGAAGTACATATAAAAAAGAAAACAGACCTCAGAGATCTAAAGGCTGCCCCATTCTTCACGTACTGTAGTCTATCTCAGATATGCAGGGCTCCACATGGTTATTCTTACTTACATCTATATCTCTATCTATCTCTATCATCTATATTTTTATCTACTTTTAAGTGGGATTCTCCAGCTAAATAGTCATACTGTACTTGATTTCTCCTTGTTCCTTTCCATTCCAGATTTTTGCACTCTTAGATAAAAAAACAAATGAGTTTTTCAATATGTTATATGCTGTAGGAGATCAGTGGTCTATATTGGTTGCACATTTTTGCCAGGCCTGGTTTAAACCTGCTATGCATCTCTTAGATAAGTTGTACTGTATTATATTACAAAGAGAACATCTTGTGTCAAGTAAGGATTTGTCATTTGTATGATTTTATTTTTTTTAAATAGCATTAATATAATCATTACTTTTGCAGATATGGGAACTTACCTTGACAGTTTCTTCCTCTGACCAACTGGTATCCATCTGGACATGCGCAGGAGAATTTTCCTGGCTCATTGACACATTGATATTGGCACAGGAAGTTAGAAGCTCTACATTCATCAACATCTGCAAAACAGAGGCATTTTCTAACCCAGTTTTGAAGGTTCAGCATCTGCCTTTACATTGTTCCTTGCCTATTATCTTTGTTACTTGGGCTGCAAAATACAAATGTTTCTTCCTTCCTTCCTATTTTCTGACAGCTTCTGGAGGGAAACTGCATCTGCCTACAGGAATGAGGTGCATGAACAGGAATAAAATCACTGCTACCAAATAGAAAGCAAAAAGAGCTTTCAAAGAGCAAGATTTTAGTGAAAGAATCAGCCTTCTAAAATGCTTTTTTTTAATTGCAAAAGTTTGCCAGAGAATCTGAGCCTAATATATTGATCTGGTTGACACAATATTTTAAGCCATAATATGGATTCTCTATTTTTGACAAATAGTATTGTGGGAGCCCAGCACAATGTTAGTGGGAAAATCAAGGTGCAGAAGTGGTCTTTTTTCTAAGATTATAAGACTCCAGTGTGCTTACCTTTGCTTATGTGTAATAAGAAATATTAGTGATGATCACACTAAAGAAGGCATTAAAGCTTCTGATTAGGAAGGAGAAAAAATGAACCTGCAAGATGTTTTCTTTGCACATTACTAACAGTGAACATGTTCTATTCAAAAGATTCCTTCCCATCCCTGTTGTTTGAGAACTTCATCAAGCTAAACAGCTACTACTCACCATCACAGCTGATTCTATCTGGGCTTAACTCAAAGCCTTGATTGCACTGGCATAAGAAAGAACCAACTATATTGTAGCACAGTTGAGCACAGGGGTTGCCGGTTTCACATTCATTTATGTCTAAGAAGAAAACAAGACAAATGTGGCATTTTGATCTTTTCTTGAACCAGTTTGGAGCATATTCTTTGTATACAATACATGTTTGTTCACTGTGAATCAACCCCAGCTTACCAAGTGTGGACCATTTTTTCTGCTTAGTTTTGCTTCCTTCCCCAAATTAAAATGAATGGGTATTTTATGCAAACAAATAGTGGCTTATATAATTAGAAGTAAAGTTGATCCAGTTGCTTTATGGATCTGAATAGCAACTACTGGCAACAGAAAATAACCAGGGCTCATGCATATACATCAGTGTTCTTTCACTGCACCCCAATTTTCTTTGGTTTCTTGGAGGTGAAGCACCAAGTATGATACCTAAAGCAATGATTTTTGTTGTTGTTGTTAGTTGCGAAGTTGTGTCCGACCCATCGTGATCCCATGGACAATGTTCCTCCAGGCCTTCCTGTCCTCTACCATCTTCTGGAGTCCATTTAAGCTGACCCCTACTGCTTCAGTGACATCATCCAGCCACCTCATTCTCTGTCGTCCCCTTCTTCTATTGCCCTCAATCTTTCCCAGCATTAGGCTCTTCTCCAGTGAGTCCTTCCTTCTCATTAGGTGGCCAAAGTACTTGAGTTTCAACTTCAGGATCTGGCCTTCTAAAGAGCAGTCAGGGTTGATTTCCTCTAGGACTGACCGCTTTGATCACCATGCAGTCCACGGGACTCGCAGGACTCTTCTCCAGCTCCATAGTTCAAAGGCCTCAATTCTTTTGTGCTCAGTCTTTCTTATGGTCCAACTTTCACAGCCATACATTGCAACTGGGAAAACCATGGCCTTGGCTATACATACTTTTGTTGGCAGGGTGATGTCTCTGCTTTTTAGTATGCTGCCTAGATTTGCCATAGCTTTCCTCCCCAGGAGCAAGCGTCTTTTAATTTCTTGGTTGCAGTCCCCATCTGTGGTGATCTTGGAGCCCAGGAAGATAAAATCTGTCACTACCTCCATTTCTTCCCCATCTATTTGCCAGGAATTGAGAGGGCTGGATGCCATGATCTTGGTTTTCTTAATGTTGAATTTCAGGCCAAACTTTGCACTCTCCTTCTTCACAAAACCCAAACCTGACTGAGCATGGGTACAAGCCCATATTCAGATCTACCCTGTGGTTAGAGGAGAGGCAAATGCTTTTCATTTTCCTATTTTATTGTGGTTGTGGGCTGTTGACCAGTATTTTTGTTATGATTTTGAGCTCTTTTCTTAGGAAAATCTGAGGAATTTTTTTCTCTCTTTCTGTCTACCCCATCACCAGTTTGCCCAGTATTTAGCTGAAAGAATCACTTAGATTTGCTTTTTTCAGGCAGAGTCTATATGGAGATTGACATTTCCACTAAGTAGACCACACCAGAAAATGAACACCACAGGAAGACTAAAACTACTTTTATTAAGATTGGATAGCAGATTGAATAACAGAACCTTACAAAATCTGATTGTTCTTTACCTCCTTCTTATACATCACTGAATTAAGAAGGCTTATTCCTGAGCTGCTTCCAAATGTTATATTGTAGTTTGGACTTAAAAAATATTTCAGCCTCTTTTGCCTAGATAATGGTACAGTACCTTAATATTTTTGTCAGTCTTTTTTTCCTTACTCTCTACAAAGACTGAGATAAATCATCTGTGGAGTTAGCTGGGATGCCTTTTGGCCTGTAGGTTCTGATAAATAAAATAAAATGGCTAAGCCACTATCTAGCATGCCCTCTGCCATCTGTGACTATATCTGTGCCTAATTTGGATCCTATAGGGAACAGAGGGAACATGATAGGTGCTTCTAGCCTGATGAAAGCTGTGACATGTCCCTCCCTTTAGGAGCCCTCGCTGGATGCAACCAATCTGGATAATTAAAAACCAGTTTCCAACATTACCTTTTGGGGAAAAGTTATTGAAAAGGTGGTGGGAACATTGTCTACAAAGCATCATGGTAAAAGAGGTTTAGCTAGACGCTTTTTAGTTATATCAGGACTCACCATGGAGTGGAAATAGCGCTGGCTACCCTAAGGATCAATCTTTGTTGGGATTTAGATGCAAGTAATGTTCTTGTTCTATTCCTTCTGGATTTTCAGTGGCATTGATATTACTGACTACTGTATCATTTTTACCCTCTGCCAGCACAGGGGATCGGAGGCAATGATTTGCAATGGTTCTGTTCTTTCTTTAGTGGTTAAGGCAAAAGGCTGGAAACTGGGATGCTACGAGTTCTAGTCCTGCCTTAAGCACAAATCCCTGAGTAGCTTTGGGCCAGTCACTCTTTCAGCCTCAGATAGAAGACAATGACCAATAATGTCTGAAATATTGCCAAGAAAACTGCAGGAAACTTGCCTAGGCAGCTACCAGGCATCATCACTGAAAGCACAAAACTCTCTATTTTTGCTGACCTGGCGATCTGTCCCAATATCAGGAGGTTGGAGAGAACTAGATGGAATAATACAGGCTGAAGTTGAACCCAAGCAAAATGAAGTTTTTTGTCTAATCAAGTTCCTAATTAGCTTTGGTGGTGTTTCTTGAGGAAGAGGCGTTAACACGAGGAAGTAGGTCTGTGACTTGGGGGTCTTTCTGGATTTGCAATTACTGTCAGATAGGCAGTTGGGAGTTGTGGTCATGGAAGGTGTTTGCTAAGCTCTGGTTATACTGCTTTCTGGAGCATGAAGACCAATAATAACTCAAGCCCTCATCATCACAGGCTTAGATTACTGCAATATGAACTTGAAGACCACTATAAGCTACAGCTGATTCAAATGGAAAAGCATCTTTGATGGGAGATATTAATTGCTCTTCATTGGGGGCCAACAGGCTGTTAAGTGCAATTCAAAGTGCTGGTTTTTCCCCTATAAGGCCTTAGCAAAGTACCTTCAAGGTTGCCTTCTCCAACCAGAATCAACCTTTTCAATGCAATCTTAATGGGAAAATGTCTTAACAAACTCACATTTTCATGAAGCTAGTTAATGATGCTTTTCACTCATTATGGATCAACCTACTTAAAAAACAGGTTAGTTTCAAGCGTGGTGCCCTCCAGAAAGTGGTTAAGGATGAGCTGTTCCAGAGAGCCCTTGAGAGCCTAATGGCATCTTGTGTGTAGCTACTGAAGTGCCGCTGAAGTGTTATTATACTAATACTAATGGAACATCATGTACATAGTATTTAATAACATTAGGTAGGTAATTAATCAGAATGCTATGGTGCATTTCATTGCTTTAATTGCTAGGATTAGTTTTTTAATCTTCATTATTTACTATGGCTATTTTATATATACCTACACAACCATAAATATTTTATTGCTTTTTTTAAAATTGCATTTTGCATATTATTTCTGATACTATGGATTTGTACATACAACCTCAATAAATAAGTGACACACCAATCATTGGTATTCATATGTGGTGGCTTCTTAATTTTTCTATAGTTAAGTTTTTGTATCCTTATATCTATTTATCTGCTTCAGTCTAGCTTGCCAAGGAGAACCCCAAGTTTATGATAGAAACCTAACCAAAGCCAGATTGGACAGCCACTTTTCTCAAATGGTATAATGCTTGAGCATGGCTTGGACTAGAAGACCTCCAAGGTTCCTTCCAATTCTATTCTTCTATTCTACTTCTATGTTTGAGCTAAGGTAAGGCAGATTTTGAGAAGAAGGAAATGCAAATACTATAGCTTCTACTTTCAAAAATGTTTTGAAATGAGAATTTGTAGGGCTATAGCATTCTAAACATTTTCATGAAAAATAAAATGCCAGTCTTCTGCTAAATGGAAGCCTCAAGAATACTGGGTATCATCTTCCCCAATTTTACTCTTATGTTTTCTATGAGATATGGCATTGCTACAAAATTGGGAACTCAAAAATCCATATAATCCTGTCTCATTTCCTGAGATTTACTAAGATTATTGTGAACTCTAGGACTTCCGGTGAGCAGGCGACTTCGTCGGACGCAGCTGTAGCTGCCTCCCGCCTGTCTTCGCGTAAAAGCCGTTTTGACAGCGAGCACTAGCTGTCAAACGGCTTGATACCTTTCCCCTGGGCATAAGGGGATCGGTGAGCTGCCCGGGGTAGGAGTTGAGTTCCCGAGTCATCCGATCGGGACGATGTAGGTTAGAACTCCTCCGGAGCCCCGAGGAACCTCCGCGATCCAGGACGCCTTTGCTTCGGCGAAGCTAGAAGCCGCCGCCACCGCTGCAACTTAAATTTAACCGTGAGTGACTATACGCAGACAAACCGACCCTGGAAGTTTGCTTTTTCTTTTGGACTTTACTCTGACTTGAGCTATTTTGATCTTCCCTAAACTTGGGTTGGATTATGCGAAAGTGAACTTAAAATGGCGATGAATGATACTTTCTAGCG